AAAATGAAAAGAAATCAAGTTCTAGGACATTATTTAAAGGGACTAAAGATCAAGATTGTTAAAAATAAAAGGAAGGAATATAAAGTTGGTTTATTGGATCAAGGTTAAAACAGATATGTTGTTATCTCTGATAACCCTTAATGGACTTTTGCTGATGAGGACTGAAATGATGAGGTTTTAAGGATTTGTTTATAGATAAGAGAAGGGCTATGGGAAGAAGAGATCATTTGTTGTGTTTTAAGAGAAAGTGATAAGTTACTAAAATTGTTTATACTTGTGGTGATGAAGGGGGAAGTAATTTTTTAAATATATTTTATTTTCTTTATTATAGTCTTGTTTTTTCTTTTCTGTTTTTTTCTTTTTTCTTGTTCTGCACCTATATTTTTTCTTTTTCTTTTTTAGTTTGTATTAGTTTTTTATCATTGTAATTTTTAATAAAATTACTATTTAAAAAGTTTATCCTGGGCAGTAAGTTAAGATTTAGATACTAAATTGATAGCTTTTGAAAAAAGAATGGATGAAAGACTTGTAAAGATGAAAGGAGAGATGAAAGAAATTAGGAAGATGGAAAGCTCTGTAAAACGAGTGTCTGGAGATGTAAAGCAAATTAATAACAAAGTGGAAATTTTGGAGAATAAGACAGAACTTATAAAAAGAGAGTTGGAAAGAGAACTAGATAAACTGGTAAAAGATAAAGATAAAAGAGGGTTTTTGTGACAGAGATTAGCAGAGAAACATCCCATTTCTATGGGACAAATTGGAAGGTGTGATTTTCACTTTTAAACAGCAGATGTTTGGGTTAAATTCTGTCCAGAAGACAAGGGAACTTCTAGAAAAAATTCAAAGAGGAACTGGAGGAGATTCAAATGCAGGTGTCAGAGGAGACTACACAAAAACTCCAACAGGCGCTACAAGAAACTGAAAGGGATAATACTGTACTAGATGCGACAGGTATTGATTTTTCTAAACTTTTGGCTTGATTATGGATTACAAATGCTTAATGTGGAATATAAATGGAGCAAGTGCTCTTTAAAGGAGAAAAAATATTTCATTATTTGAGAAAATTAAGATATAAGTTGTTTTGTATGTAAATCCCCAACTAAAACCAGAATTTGTATTGACTGATGAGCATAGTAGATTTGTTGGGGTGGAAGTTAATTTGCATGGGATTAAGACTTTGATACTGGGAAATTATGCCCCAAATGAGAACAAAGTATTGTTTTATAAACGACTTATGGAAAGATTAATAGGTTTCTCTTATGAAAATTGGTGTTTGATGGGGGATTGGAATGGAGTGATCTCAGATTAATAGGTTTCTCTTATGAAAATT